TTACAGAATGATGCTTTTCTTTGCAGAATCCCAACTGTTTCTGGAAATCGGGCTGTTTTGTGCCCTTGTTGGAATATACAACATCCATCCCCGCGATGTTCATTGTGATGGGAAACAGAACTTTCTTGTAATTGCTGTGCTTTTGTTTGCAGAGTCCCAACTGCTTCTGGAATTATGTTGTGATTGCTGTAAACGTTCACCATATTCTGTGCTTTTCTTGAAACACATGGCATCGGCAGTTGCTCTGCTAGATTTTGTCAGCTGTCTGCATGCTTGTAATTTACTGAGGTTTTAGGCATGCTTCTAATTTACTCAGCAGGGTATGTCTTTTGTGATGCAATGGTAGGGTCCTGACTCCTGAACCTCTTCAACATCTGAAGCCGCTGTAATTAGGTTCACTTGGCTTGTTTTAAGTTTCTTTTGTCACCTTGCTGGGCACACCCTGTACCTCTGCATAAAAGGATTAGATGTATCAGTTGAACATGTAACAGTATCAGTTGATCAAGTATTGCAGCGCCATGAATGCTTTATATTATAAAGGTGTTTTGAACTTTTGATGCATGCGCGGTTACTGTGCGGCCATATACAAGAATTGTGGTAGATTATGAGGGGTTGTGTTGTACTAAGGGCGCGTTCGGCGCGGCTCTTTAGAGCCTCTAAAATTTAGCCTCTAAAGAGAATTTTATTATTTAGGAGTATTAAATAAAGTCTAATGATAAAATCTTTTTACAGATGGGTATATCTTTACGAGACGAATCTAATGAGCCTAATTAATCTATGTTTTGCTACAGTGATGCTACAGTAATGTTACAGTAAATATCGTCTAATCACGGCTTAACTACCCTCGTTAAATTCGTCTCGCGATTTAGAGGGGGGGTCTACAGTTAGTTTTGTAATTAAAGTTTATTTAAGACAAGATTCTTTTTGTTTAGACTCTTCTAAATTTTAGAAGGGAAAACGCCGAACGCGCCCTAAGCTTTTTCTTTCCTCAGGCGATGGATTATATGCTCTGTGCTGCAGTTCCTTTGATAGGCCATCCTGTGCTGGCCGTTAATGTCAATCCTGTTGTATATTGCTGGCGAATTTGTATTTCTCGTGTTTTCCTTATATGGGTGACGATTGATGCAGCCAGTTCTAATCAATCTATTGATTCCTGATTTACGGCTATTGGCGCCGCAATAGCAGACGTGCACGGAGCTCCCAAGCTGTCGTTTGTCGTGACGTGTCAAGCTGTACTAGCCATGCTGTAGTGACTGTCTGCACATGTTTCTGCTGCCTGAAGCGACCGGGCCAGGAGAAGAACAAGCGGAACCGAAACCAAAAGCCGTCGAATCGGGCAGGACGACGAGCAGCGTCGCATCCGAGCGTGTCCCCTCAGTCACCCAGCTCCACACGGCCGCGTCCCCGTCCACCCCCGCGCTGCGGGTCCCCGGCCGCCCGGCGCATTCACGAGCTGACACCGCCGCAGCGCGGGGCGTGCGTGATGCCGACAGCGGCAGGGCGCGGACGCGCGGGCGGGCAGTAAACAAACAACCGCGACCGCGCGCGCGGGGCAGGCAGGGAGGGAGAGGAAAGGAAAGGCAGGAGGACACGCACTGGGAAAGCGGCCGCGGAATGCGACGTGCGGGGACAGTCGCGGTCAGTGCCTGCCTGCCTTGCCGCGGTGGTGGTGGTGGCCCGTGACGCGACGTCGCTGTCCCCCCATGCTCTGCTCTGCTCGACGCGACGTCGCTCGCTTCCCCACCTCTCTTTCCGCGCTCCCGGCCGGCCGGTACTTCTGGCTGTCTGGCTGGCGCCCGCGCGCGCGCGACGTCCTTGTCCCGTCACGCGCGAGGAGTCCCCTCGCTTTCGCCTCCATGCCCGTCCCTTTCCTCAGCTGCCGGTCTCGCGACGTTTGGATTCGACCCGGCTCGTTTCACGTCTGCTTTGCTTGATTTGCTTTGCTTTCTCACGTTAATGCAACTTTGTTGATGGAACAAGGGCTGAGAGTTACCTGCGATGCAATTATTGGACCGTCTAACTAACATCAGGATTCAGGGGGGCTCTGTGGCCATTTCAGGCACGGATGGAACCGTGCTCCGTGTCTCGGTGTTCCTGCTGGCTTAAAGTGAAGCTGTATGCTGCGGTAGGAGGAGTTGGGCCCTCAGCCTTTTTCACACTTCTATCTACTCGAAGTTGGAAAGGGATGATTTGATTTGTTGGTCCGGTCCCTATGGTTGGTGGGGAAATCTCACTTACATTACTGCCACGTAGGGTACTTATGTGAGATGAAGCCGAGGCAAAGCTGCCATGCCCTGAACAAACCAGGAAAAAAAATCATAAAAAATGCGGAATTTCCTGTAGTTGTTCACCATCGGACTGCTCTGCTGGCTATTCTTTCAACGTGCGTGACGAGGAGATGCGCCTGCTCACGTTGAATTGAGTATAACATGTCCATGTGAGTTGAGTATTTCTTGCTTTGGTTAAAAAGAGAGAGTATTTCTTGCTTTGTGGGGTATGCAACCGGAGCACTTTTACAATAGACCATGATACTAGTTGGTGAGAGGTATCATGATTGTAATCCAACCGTTGATTTGATTAGGTATTTTTGTAATTAACGTTATTAGAGAAAGGAACCCATGGTACCCTTGTAACTAATTAGGTCATCAGCTCGTTTCATCTGTTACGAGTCAGCCGCCGCCGGGAGTTGGCGTACGTAACGCGTAGGAGCCGGCGATAATTGCTCGTGGCCTGTGCTTATCGTAGGAAAAACGTGTTGTTCCAGGGAACTGAATGAACCGGCGCCAACGATTTGTTAATCATATCAGACACCAAGATCTTGTTACTCAAAATCTGAACAGAACGATCCATGAAACACATCCATTCGTCCAAGGACAACAAGATCTTGCCCCCGTCGATTGAATGGGAATCAGGGCACCTCGACGCTGCCCGTCCAGGCCTAAATGATCGCATCGCCGCCACGGACGTCCTCCAGATGGATTCAGTCCTGCGCCTTGGGCCTACCGTGACGACGAGGACGGCGCTAGGAGCTCGTCGACGTCGGAGTTTGCCGTCTCGTACAACAACTCAATTCACAGATGCAAAAGTCCTATAATGATTTGAAAAGATGGAAACCCATCACCTTTCTTTTTCCCAAATTGTCCATATAATACCTATGATACCTTAACATGATACTCATGACACCGGAGGGTCAAAAAAGTATCATGGTGACAATCTGAGCCACTTGATGAAAGAAATGGACGATGTGCATTCATTTGGGTTTACCGTAAAAGTTCTCATGCAACCGTGTTATCGTACTATGAACTTTTGACTCACTGACGAACTGAGAAGTGAAAGCAACTGAACAATGGAGTACTCTATTATCCATCCAGTGGCGATTTTGAAATCGCAAGTCAGTACTAACCTCCCATGTCTTTAGTGAAACTTTGATGAGATCAGAAGGAAGGTAGGTGGCAGACAAGGATAACCATGGCCGCCACCAAACGCCGAGCAGAAACCACATCCCGCAGAAGATCGCCGAGTCGAGACAACTGGACAGCACCCGCGCATCCACCCGAGCACGGCACGAAGCATGCAACAAATCAAGCAGGAATCCACATGCGGAGAGGAGATCTACCTTAGTGGGGGAATAATGTTGGTCCCCTTCCGCGTAAGTTGCATTAATAAAGCGGAACCGCATGGAAAAAGCGAGGCGACCGAAGGAAAACTCTGAAAAGAGAGAGGGCGAGGAAGAGGTCGCCTTCATCCTAGGATCGGGGCCCTTGCGGCACATGCCGTCCATGATTGCCTCCCCTGCTTTTCTTCTTTGTTGTACTACTAGCACAGGAGCAGCACGACTCGGCTCGGCGGCTGGTGGTGGTTGTTGTTATGGTACTGTGCGGCTTGCCAGCGTGTGGCTGGGGATGGACGAGACACGAGAGTGTCGCATGCGACGGGCTGCACGTTCGGAGGTTAAAGTGGTAATTGCACTTGACTTGGCAGGCCGTTGCAGGGCCGGACTTGATGACAAGAGATACTGGGCCAGCGAATTCGGCTAGGCCGAGCCGAAAACACTTTTGCATCATTTATTCAGGCCTCTTAAGCCACATTGCAACAAGTCCAGCCTACCCTGTCCCTGCTGCGTGCGTTTCTCCGTTGGGGCCGAGAATTCTGCACTGGGTTTGACGGAAGTGTGAGGTGACGCACGGAAACGGTCGGCAGGCTGTCGACGTGACACTGACCTACAGCTAGTGACAACGGTGGTGTTAGGAACTGAGGATGGGTTTATTCGGCCGGCTGTCGCGCTCACGCCAGTCACGCACCTGCTGAGGCGGCACGGCAGATCTCGGCTTGGCTGGAATCTGCGTCGCTCGCAACTTGCCATTGGTTAGAGTGGCGCTCTCGCCTGTCCCCTTCTCCCTTGATAGCTTTGACAGGCGATTCAATTGGATTTACAATTACAAATCAGGCGTGCCAAATGTCCAAACCGATCGAACAGCTAGTGGTTCGCGGACATAGTTCGGCTCGGCCGACTCGGGGTCGACCAAGAGTCACAGTCACAGAAACTCGATGGACTAAGCGTTAGCAGCTTGGAAAGGCTGGAAACTGGAAACGAATGCGGCACATCGGACAAACCAGCGAGAGGAACCTGAAGCAGCACAGGCCCAGTGTCGCCTCATTTGCCTCCCGAGATTTTACCGGCCAGCCTTTCCCTCCTGGGCCGATTGGCTCGGGAGACTCGCATTCATTTCAGGATCGCGCTGCTGGGCCGGATCGCGGACGTGCCGCCGCCGGGAGCTGCACCTTGACTTTTTTTTTTAATTACACAGTACAACTCGGACACTCATAACACACGCACACTCATCCCTATAAACGCACATACGCAAACCTTATCCTTATGAGCATCTTCGAAAACTGAGCCGGCAAATTCTCCAGATTGACGAAGTCACCACGGCGCCTCGTTGTCGACGGCCACGTCGCTTACCGCTGAAAGCACAGATGACGTTAAATCTTAAAAAATTTACTCCCACCGAGAATCGAACCTAGGATTTCAAAGTGCTATTCGGATGTCTTTAACCACTAGCCCAGGGAGCTGCACCTTGACTTGCGTCACGCACTGACTCGCGCGGTAGGTGTGGGCAGTTGCTCCTAAAAAAAAATGGTGTGGGCAGTTGCAGCCGATAGCGAGGCTGTGAATTAACACTGCATTGACCATTTGACCCCACCGAAAAGATGCCATCACCTCTCGTAAACAAGGGCCACCCATGTCCTGGGGAAAACGGGATGCTCATAACCAGAAGTTGCAAAAACCTGAACCTTCACCGGCATTGTACGGTTTCATGGCATTGAGGCAATTCATCTAGTCTTATCATGTGGTTATGCAGTCACTAGACAAAGCCATGACCATATGGTAAGCATACTCACCGCCAGTTCTCATAACAGCGATAAACCTCAATTTGCTCTCGCAATCGGTAAACAACAACCTACCTATCGTCACCCAAATACTAGGACACTTGAAAACCTGAACACTTGAGCCTTTCGAGCTAGATTTACAACACTTGAAAAGTCACCTTCAAAGCCTCGCTGCAAAATTTACCGAGGACAAAGTGAAAGCTCAGTCAACACAATGTTGCTGGATTGATTCTACCATGAAATCACGGGATAAACTAACAGATAATACGATGAGATTAGATTCACAAAAGCTGTGACTTTGTCATGAGGGAACAAAATCTCGCTGTCTCTTCAAAGAGCTGCCACACCAGCAGTGCGCAATGCATAAGCAGACTAGTTTCAATCTCCTACCACTAGCAATTAATAACCAAACATTTGCAAATATACACAAGTGCAACAAGCACATCCAGATATCAAGCTTCGCAGACTTGTGCTCATGGCATTGGTTCATCTGGGACCTGATCTTCAGCTATTCAGGATTTGAAGCATAGCATTTTTCTTCCACAGAAGATGTTCCTGCAGTTGTGCCGCAATAAGTTGGTGTTAAAACGTGGCAAAGCACAACTAGGAATGTAGCATGTTCTATCAGATATGTATATTGTGCATCAACTAAACTTAGTTACTTAGATAACAAAGAATTTCTAGTAGCCATGTCAAGCATGGTAAATAAAACTGTAGTGGCACCAAGCTCTCAAACGCTACACAGCTCGAATCATTGAGATTGAGTCAGCTTCACCGCTAGACCTAATTACTACTTCAGTCACACTGAACAATCGGGAAGCTGAGACTCCATTATCCTCAATGTTTAGACTCCCAGGATTCCATATCAGATAACGGGATTACAGTTTACAGAAGTAAGTGTTACATGAGGACGACACCCCCCCCCCCCCCCCCCCCCCCCCCAAAAAAAAAGTAAGTTGTTACACCAAGTAAATGTATTTAAAGCATGCAATTCAGTTGCTAATGTAAATGATCTTGCCATCATGTCAATAATTCTGTGAAACAAGGAAAAACTTTATAACCTAATATGTTAAAAATGTGAATAGCTTTGAAGTCTGCTCTCATCAGGGCCTACAGTTTCTGTGGAAATACTCATATATTTACTTACAGCGTAGAACATCCTTGCCGGGATTTCTTCTTCTTCTTTTCTCTGGGTTTAGTTGGGGGCTGGATTACAACCTTGATGGCAGCATCAAACACAGCTTTGACATTCTACATATTAGTGAAATATTACAAAGTAAGATAATTGCCCGAGGCGTAATAACAAGTCACATACAACCAAGAAGAAAGCAAATATACCTGCTGTGTCTTTGAGCTACACTCAATGTAATACATAGCACCAATTTGTCTACGAAGTTCTTCACCCTGTAAGATGAAAACATGTAAAAATGATTTTTTCAGAAGCCAAAATTCGATCATAGCTCTGTAAGAGACATGAGATATACCTGTGCTGTTGTAACAGGTATCAACCCAGGATGGTCCATTAAGTAGTGCTTGTCTTCACGAAGATCTGTAAATAATATCATGATTTACAGATATTCAAATCAATTCTCTGACAAAGAAATTTAAGTAACACTGATGTGAGATTATGTCATGTTAAATCAAGTGTCCTAGATAGATGTTTTAGGGTTCCTCTTCCCAGAAGTTCTGGATGATCGTTAATAGGAATAAAAATTGTGAAAAACAGCTAATTCACGGATCATAATTACGGATTTGTACTCCACTACATTAAAGGTTCATATTCAGTTGTAGCAAAGTTTCTACTTACTACATATAAGTACAACATTTCATGCACTTCCAAAGATAACTTAAAGCTTTCCACAATTACAAAGTTGCACTATAAACAATAAATTTGCAATCAGTTCCTTGTTGACTTCAACTCACCAACTACACGATCGATAACATCTCTTGTAATTACAAAATACAACTTTACAAGTATCACTATCAAGAGGTCAAAAACCGAAATGAATTCCAACAGTACAGAGAAAAAGATATGTTAACAACTTAACAACATCGAATACCCAATCGGACTACAATAAACTAAGCTCAACAACCAAATGCAATAAGTGAAATCAAATGCACTTGTTAATAAGACTCACCCAATTTTGTGCCTACCAACACAATGGGCACTCCAGGTGCATAATGCTGAAGCTCCGGTATCCACTGCATACAAAAGAGCAAACAATAATCATTTTCAAGTATCTAGGAAATTCCAAAGAAATATCAAGTAACAAGTACTCAGAAACCAAGATAGTGCAGTTCAGAACCTTCTTCATGATATTCTCATAGCTAGCTCGGCTCACAAGGGAGAAGGCAAGCACGAATACATCAGCGCCACGGTAGCTTAGAGGCCTCAATCGATTGTAATCTTCCTGCCCTGAAAAGGACGAGATATTGCAAGCTTTATGTTACCCAAAGAATCCGCAAATACCTAACTTTTAGCTAAAATTAACAACTGAGTAAAAAACATAGAATTCACAAGTCCTGAAGTGCATCAGGAGAAATATAGCAATCAAATGATGAACTCGCATTACCCGCAGTATCCCAAAGGCCCAAGTTCACCGTGGTGCCATCAACAACAACGTTTGCGCTGAAATTGTCGAACACCGTAGGTATGTAGTCCTGCGCATCATAAATTTGATGGATCAGCAACAAGCAGAAATTTTTCTTAAGACGAACAAAATAATCCACACTGATAAGGCAGGAGAGCACCCCAAAATAAAACTGAGAAAGATCGAGGTATTGCAAATCAAACAGTCCCACAAAAACAAAATCGGCAAATAAACTGAAAATCATTTCTTGAACAAAAAAAGCCTAACTTCACAAGAAATCAGAAAGGGGCTCTCAAGTCTTTCGCACAAGAACCTGGGAGAGACAAAGAAGAAGTGAGAGAAGGATGTCCTCACAGTGGGGAACTTGTTGCTGGTGTAGCAGATGAGCATGCAGGTCTTTCCCACGGCGCCGTCGCCGACCGTGACGCACTTGATGAACCGGGAGGCGCTGGACGCCATGGCCGCGCGCCCCTCCCCGATTCCTCCGACCCAAGTGAAGGGGAGAAGCGGAAGACGAGGGTGCGAGGAGCCGGCAGGGAGGGCAAGGACGGAGTGTGTTCCTTTGCTTCTTGGGGGCGTTTGGTGCGTGACTTCTTGGCGGAGTGAGTGAAGAGGGTCACATGCTTCTCACCTCACTGCCTAGAGAGGCGCCCCTCCGTGCTCTCGCTCTTCATTTTATCTCGCTGTCCTGTTGGCGCCTTGTACATGCACGATTGGTACAGCAAACAGGTTCCTGGAGAAGAAATTAAATTTCAAGTTTGGGATACTATGCTGATTTTTCAGCGGGCGACCAAGGCTGTTAGCCACCAAGGTCCTTTTTTGTGATGTTGGAGTATTCTGTTCACATATTGAATAAGAAGAACATGTTATGTTTTGTGACAAAATACTTTTATCGTATGAGAATTCTGGAACGATGAAACGATACCGAAAAGAAATGTCTTCATTTCATGCATTCTGAAAGGATGCCTACTTTTTTTTCTCTTCTTTTTTGGTGCAGTTTTCTTGTTGTTTTGATGACAATGAAGTACTTATAAACTAGGTTTAGGCAATTTTTTGTGACATCCTGGCGCCGTTGGAAATGGAATTAATTACTCCAGCGACTAAAAAAAATACAACATTTCTTGAACTCTGGTGTGCATCGTGAAATCGCTAAAGCTTAGAAAGAGTGTAAAATCAATATATGATGTCAAATTCCCCTAAAAAATCTATGCATATGATGGTCGAGTGTAAAATTAATATCAAAATTAATATTGTTATGCATGAATTTAATTTACATCTTCAACATACTCCTTCAAGAGTTGCCATATCTATCACTATGAAATATGTTGTGCAAGATATTTAAATTAACCACCATGCATATCTATCACCATGAAATAAATAGTTTTCATAAATCAAGAAATATTAATGCTGGCATATCAGTATCTTTGAAAGTGATATACTGCAGGTGCAATGGAGCAATCTTTCTCCCAGAAGGCACGACGAACATTAATAACGTTAAATATTTAAAATATTTTTTTTTAAAAAAACCTTAACAGCACTTCAATTGGTGACAAGGAAGCCTAATCTGTACTCATTTCACCAAATGGAGTGCGCATGTATTCCTTATGGTCTAGGACGCTAAATATAATAATAAGCCGCCCCTCCTCTTTCAACTTTCAACTAATCTTTACATAAAAAAAAGTTGAACTAATCCACTAGAACCTCTCAAGCAAAAGGTACTAACAGGTTTTCTACACCGTTTGGTGAGGCCTTGTACTCTTAGTTGTTATTGTATTAAAGAACTGGTTGTTTGCAAAGTAGATTTTGTCCAGAATGCTATGTTCTGCGATTCAAGTAAACAAGCACACATGCGAAGAAAAAAAAAATCTACTGCTGTAACTTTTCAATAATATGGGATCACCAGAATTTATCAGCTTTGTTATTCAAACGTGGATTTGCAATTAAACATTGCAATGTTTCTTCATAAGAGGACATACCAATTCCGGATCACATAGTCCATAGATGTCTTGCTCAACGAACTTATTTTCGCAGCTTTGCCCTTTCCCTCTTATCTCCGCTTTTTGGTTGTTTGCGGAGTCGCCGTACACGCC